CACATGAAAAATAGGGCACATTGTCTGAGGAAAAACTACGAGAAGGAAATAGAGCTGTAGACGTAAAATGGGTATTCAAAACAAAAGCAGACGGAACCAAAAAGGCAAGGTTAGTTGTGAAAGGTTTTCAAATACAGGAGGAGAATTCATTTGAATCAATTTATTCGCCAGTCACAAGAACATTTGTTATCCATAGTGCTACAACGTGACATGAAGATAACACAATTGGATATTCCTACAGCATTTTAGAATGGGACACTTGAAAACAAAGTTTACATTCATCCGCCACAAGGACTAAAAACCAAATCACCTATATTGCGGTTCATACATCATTATATGGTCTATGCGAAGCATCAAAAGTGTGGAACAACACTTTCAATAAATTCGCAGGAGAAAACAACTTCAAATGATCAAAGCATGATTGTTGTTTGTATCATAAAGGAAATGTTTGGATATTGATATATGTTGATGATGACATTTTGATATTAGGAAACAGTGAAGAAATTAAAGAAGTAGTGAAGCTATTGAAAGACAACTTTCAAGCAAAGGATTTAGAAGAAATAAAATTGTTTTTAAGGATGGAAATTACAAGACTGGAAAACAAAATAACAATAAAACAAAAAAAAAATTACAAAAAAAACTTTTAACTGAATTCAATATGGAAAATTGTAGCTCAAATAAACACCAAAGGAAAAAGGATTCCAAAACAACCCAGAAAGTGAAATAATTGTTGTCCCATATAGAAAACTAATTGGTGGATTGATGTATCTATCTATTACTACAAGACCCAATATCACATTTGCAGTTTCTTTTCTAAGTCGATTCTTAGATAGAACAACAGCAGAAACCTGTAAAGCAGGAAAAAGAGTTTTACGCTATTTAGCAGGGACTAAAGACGTGGGGCTAATCTTTTATAGAACTAATGAATTGAATTCAAATTTAAAACCCTTTTCAGATGCTGATTGGGCTACCTACAAAAATGACAGAAAAAACGTCAATGGTAGTATCATATTTTATGGAGACAATCCCATATCATGGTACTCGAAGAAACAAAACTGTGTTGCCAAGTCAACAGCCAAAGCTGAATTTGTGGCAGCGGCTACTTGTGAACAGGATGTTGTAAATCTTAAGAGCTTTTTAAATGATTAAAAAGTTGAGAATGATGCCGTACTTTATTTTGACAATCAAAGTTCAATTCTTATGTCTAAAAGTAATGAGAACTCTAAAAGAACCAAACACCTTGACATAAAATATATTTACTTGAAGAATTTAATCTCTAAAAAATTTTAATAATAGAATATGTGTCAACTGATCAAAATTTAGCAGACATGTTAACCAAAGCTTTAAGTACAGATATTTTTGTAAACCTTAGAATTAAGTCCAATATAATTCAAGTGATTTTCATTTTATCAAATTTCAAATCAAGGGGGAGTGTTAGAAATATATATATACTGTGAATATAGATAGATGACAGAACGGAGTTCTTATATGTATGTTCCATGGCTCTTTGTACTTTGCTTTTTTATATATAATAAAAGATGATTGTGTTGATGACAAATATATTTAATGTGGATAAATGCAATACAGAAAGGCATTAATCTTATCAGGAATACCCCAAGGAAGCATTGCATATAAACGATTTATGTTACCATGCACATCATTCAATTGCAGCTGATTAACAAAAAGATTTTAAATAGATTTAAACATACCCTGAAGTAGTAAAAACAGGTATGGAAATGTTTAATGATACAAAAGAATAGTTCACTAGGAATTGGTTAATTTTGAATGAATCTAAAACTAATCTTATACTTTTAAGAACTAATCAATTACAGATAGAACGACCTCAAAATTTGAATATTGAATACATTATTATAAAATATTCAGAAGACACCAAATTTCTAGGACTTCATATTGATGAATTCTTAAAATGGAACAAACAGATTGATTATACAGCTAACAAATTGAGCAAAATTTCGTATGGACTAAAGGTGGTTCACAAATATCTCAACAAAGAATCGGTAAAAATTTTATATTTTTCCAATTTTGAGTCTGCAGCTAGATATGGAATCATATTTTGGGGAGGCAATAGTAATATAAATAAAATATTTGTATTTCAGAAGAGAGCAATCATAATGATGAGTAATTTGAAGTATAATCAATAGTGTAGATATGTCTTCAAGAATAATGGGATAATGAAGATATATACTCTTTATATTTATGAATGCTTAATGTTTGTATTGAAAAATAGGCATCTGTTCTTTAACAATATTAATCAACATTTCTATGGAACAAGAAGAAATGTTCAACGAAAGTCATTTTTTTTGTGGAGGAAAAAATCAGTTTTTTATCGACCTTTTTTTGGGTAATGGTTACATCTGTCGAAAAAGTAAAGAAATAAGCTCTCAAAAAAGGAATAACTGCATATTTATTCGAATTTTTATCCATTTCTGAAGACGGAGGCAGATTTTGGCCTCTGAAACGTAAAAGATAAGTATAATTTCTTAATATTTTTTTGATAGGCAAAATTGTGAAATACGACAAGTTACTGATAAATAGAAGATTTTTCTTTGTGAAAAATACTTTGATTTTTACGCAGTAACTTATCGGGGTAAACTAAAAAGTTTGCCCTTCTACACTTGTATAAAGTTCTCCATTATAATTTTTATATTTTTTCAGATTGTGGAAGGTAACCATTACCCAAAAAAAGGTCGATAAAAAAGAAGAAATGGTTTCGTGCTCCCTATACATAGGTTAACCATAACAGAAAAAACTCCTCATTACATATGAATGAAGCTGTATAATAAATTGCCTAATGGAATTAAAGATTTGAGGAGCATAAAGAAATCTAAGAAAGAAAAAAATATTTAATAGATTTAGAACATATAGGGTTAGTGACTATTTAGATCAAACCGAATTATAGAAATGTATATATTTATGAGTATATGTAGTATTTTTCTTTTATTTTTTGTTGACATTATTTCATTCTATGTTGTCTTGTACAAGCTGTAATAGTTGGCATATTTTTGAAATAAAGTATTATTTTTATTATTATTAATTTGCAGATTCTTAATTGTATGTACTAAATAGTTAGGACAACCCAGTTGATGCAGTTTGAATAAAAGACCCCTGTGCCAGATGCTATTGAATGTTTCTTGTTGATCAGCTTGGTTGTTTCAATGTTGTTCGTGAGAATCGTGAGAGGATGTATAGTAGATCTTCCTTGTCTAAATCCAAACTGGTAGCTTGTAATTTTATCAGATTGTGTTTTTTATTTTTACGTGTCGAGGTGTAAAAATAACGATTTGGTGTTGGGAAAAAACTCCAGTAATATTCACTAGTTAAGTTGATGACAAATATAGTGCTTGTGATGCACTGTTTGGAACCTTTGGTGTAAGTAATGAAAATTACTTCAATTAAATAAAAAATAAAAAAAATATCTTCATGAAGAAGATTAATCTTCTTCTTGAAGATGATCACTTGGTGATCGAAACAAGTGTCGAAGTGTTAAAATAACGATTTGGCGTTGGGTAAAACTCCAGTAATATTCGACAAATATAGTATTGAAACAAAAATCACATACCTTTTTTTGTACCAACTTAGATCAATAGTAAGGTTTTTCTTTGTATAAATGGGGTAGTAGAATAATCAGAATTGTTTATACCAAAGAAATACCAATAATAAAATGTGGTTTACAGATTTTTATGATTTACGTTTTGTCTACTACTGCTAGAGTTGTTGTTTCTGTTCCGAACGGGGTACTACCATGCTGGTATTTGACTCTGGTTTTATATTATCATTAGTGGGCTTGGCTTGTTTTCTCTTAACTGGATTACCTGTCCTTGTTTGTGTACCTGTAAGGACAGGTAACCAGATTTTATTGATATTCATTGCCTCTTCTTTTCTATTGAATTATCCCTGTGTTTATGAATTTCTATTACCTCTCTATATACTCTTGGAAAGCAATTTTGAGGTTTAATGTATATTACTGTATCTTCAAATGAGATAATGTGAGTGCCTTCCTTGTTGAGAGCATGTTCGGCTACAACAGTGTCCAGAGAGTAAGGTACCCACACGTCTTTTCGTGGTTCCAATGTAGACCGACCCACAGCTATAAGAAATCCGGTATACTTCAGGTGGTGTGAAAGGTTCTATGGGAGCCTTAGCTGATCTCAGACTTTGTCTGATAGTGTTTGTTGGCCAAAATATTGGTTTCACGTAGTGTTTCTCTAAGATTCTCACAATCTGGTTTGTAACATTTTCAACACAGAGAAGGAAAGCTTTTTCCTTGACCCACCTAGCTGGGGTTACTTTGGCGTTCTCTCTCCCGGGTCACATGGCAAGCTCAAATTCTAAGGTCCCCGAGAACCTTAAGCATCACCCTTGTAGCTGGGGGTCAGTCTATATTGGAAACAAGAGAAGAAATGTGTGTACTCGTCTCTATGGATACAAGAGAAATTGTTGATTTGGACAAACCAAAAAATCAGCTGTAGCCGAACATGCTCTCAAAAAAGAAGGCACTCACATCATCAATAATTTCAATAGAAAAAAAGAGATGATGAACATCAATAAATTTAGTTTACCTGATCTTACGTGTACACAAACAAGGTCAGGTAATCCAATTCAGAGAAACCAAGCCATGTCCACTAATAATATTATAAAAACCAGAACATCATAGTTATTGCGCTCGGAACAGAAACAATAACAACTCAAACACCAACTTGGGCACTGAGACTGTTACCACATCACCTCTATTAATGTCTAGTGAAGTAGTAGATGAAACGTCAGATATAAAAACCTGCAGATCACGGCCAAAAAACCTGGAAAATAACTTTCACACAATTATTAATTTTGGCAAATATTTGTTCCCAAAGTTTTGTAATTTGTATAGAATTAAAAATAGCAACTGGAGGAGCTAAAAATGACAGAAACGGTAATTCAGATGTCTTTATCTGTATCTACATTAGCAGTAATATTGGTTTGTGACACAGTGGTAGACTTACCCCGTCTTACAACACCAAAGCTCCCATCACCAAGTTTAACAGACAGTGTAATATTGGCTTCCTGAATTAAGCAGGAAGTGAAGTCACTAATGACTACACCATCTTCATTTATTTTTTTATTTGCAGGTGTCTTACTTGACACTGGTATTAACTTGTTTATCAAGTTTCTTATCTTTTGTTGAGTTCGTTTTTTCTTGACAGCTTCTAATAGTCTTCGAGCCCCTGAAGAAAATTTTCACAGTAGAAAGAAAAGTTTTAATTTTGATAATAATTTACCTGGTTTACTCAGACCAATTTTTTCTAAATCTTCTGGAGTAACAAAATCAAAATGTTCAAGTCTAGATATCTGAAGATCATCACGAATTGGAACCAAAAATTGCCCTAGCTGTATCTCTGACAATATATTTCCAAGCCATTCTAAACCTTCAGACATTTTCTGCTGTAATAAATGAAAAAATAATATCATGTTTAATCCAATGAGTGCAATTCTCAGTTATTGATGTAACAGTTACCATAATCATAAATCTTAAAAAATATTATTGTTGATTAGTTGTTACCCTCATATGGGTATTTCTTTTTATTATGATGAGTTTGAATTTACTACACTGTATTTGGTGTCTGGAAAAACATTGCATCACAAGTGAAAATAAATTAGAACCTTACCTTGAAAATTATAACTTTATCAGATTAAGACAGAGTTAATTGAAAATTATCATATTGTATATGTACACTGCCTATAGAATGGCCAATTCAATATTCTCAGTCTCCAGGAAATACAGATTAATATAACAATGCCTTTTTTTCAGGGTGAAGTAACTCTAGTTGAATTATTATACGAGATTCTTAATGTTACTTTAGTGTCACTGTTAACTATAAAAGGATCCATTTACGATTTGGAGTCATGCTATACATGCAATTATTACACCAAACAAATAAAAACACCAGAAACAAGTCAACAATACAAATGAATGAATAAAAGAAAAAGTTGAAATTGACAACTGACAGAATAGGTTATTGAAAGTACCAACATAAAGTTGACTGGCAGACCCAGCTGCTAAATTTTCCGAACTATGCCCACCACAATGCCTAGCGACCAGTAGCGTGTATCCCCACTATCAGCGGAATGAATATTGTCGTATAGGAATATATAAATAGTCATAATTGATATTTGTTGCAGAAAATCGACTTATACAATAATTGAAACAAGAAATGAAATATAAAATTGCTTCATTATGCATGAAACTGTGAGAGAACTTTTTTTCTGAAATATTTATCTCTGAAATTGCTTGCTAAATTATTCTCCTGGGTCATATATAGCGAAAAAGAAATTTTCAACAAAATATTTTTGGTTAACCAGTTTAGTGATCCAATAATTTTTCTGAAAAAAGGTTGGTTGGGTAACAGGATCAACTTTTTTACAAAAAAATTTATTTGTTTTCTTGCAGACGTTTCGAATTTAATTAACTTCTTCTTCAGGGCAAATTATTTTTGATACCTTTCGCAACCGACTGATCAGACAATAATAGTGGGATGTGATCATAGTGACCCAATCTAATCCCTCCGTAAAAATGATTTCTTGCTTACGATTTACTCGGGTCATACAATGCGAAAAAGACATTTATAAAAAAGACATTTTTGATACCTTTCGCATTCGACTGCTTAGACTATATATAGTAAAATGTGATCATGGTAACCCAATCTAATTCTTCCGTAAAAATAATTCCTTGCTTACGACTCACATGGGTCATACACTGCGAAACAAAATTTTCAGTGTGTACCTACTCGGTGCCCACTTTATTTTTTATTCCACGTTTCTTGTAATAGATGTTCATAGAAAGGATCAACATTTTTCATACGTTGTTTGGTCAACCTCTCTTTCGGAATATTGTGTGACCAAAAAAATTTTCAATGTACGAATTGCTCATATGTTGCTCAGCTCTTCTTTACTAACCCCCGTCCAAAGTGGATAAAACGGTATGTATTTCAATAAAATAATTTTGTGAATCATGCCCTGAAGAAAATAACGCCGGCTGTCACTGGTAGCCATAAACCAATTGCGACGTAGCTAAGAGCGCGCGAATTTACTATGTTTGCTGCTGCTCTAGATGGAGCGAATAATGCTACCGGCCTCGATTGAATTCCGGCGAATTTTCTAACGCCTTCGATTACGCTAACCACGAGCATATCGACACAGTCAAGTGGAAGTTACAGTGCGGTACGCGAAACGTCTAGTAAGGCGATAGACATTCGAATGATAGTTGAAGTGTTTGCTGTATTTGAAGTGAAATAAATTTCGATTATTGTTCAGTGAAGTCAATTATTAGTAAACCCACGGGGAAAACATAACACTTGGTGTCAGAAGTGGAATAATTGACTGAAAATTTACTTTTTATGGTGAAAACAAAGATTGTCAATTACGACGATATGGAAGAGTTCAAAAAAATGTTCGAGGATTTGCAAACGGGCCTACAAACACGCAGAATAGAGAAAGAACAATTACGGCGAAAGGAAGGTCGTGAATTATTACTAGGTATTCATGACAGAAAAAAGACAATGAGATGTACCTTTATTCATTTGAAGATTTAAAAACTACTCAAGTGAGTAAAGGGGAAGAATTTCAAAAAATATTTCAGAAAACAAAAAGAATTGGAATAAGCAGTCGATGAGAAGCTTGAGGGGGTTGGAAGGAAATTTGAAGAGGAGCTTGAAGAAGTCGAAGGGAAATTTAAAGAGGAACTTGAAGGAGTCGAAAGGAAATTCGAAAAAAGCTTGAAGGAGTCGAGAAAAAGTTTAAAGATTTTATCCGAAAACTTCAGAAAGTATCACCGGAGCCAAAAACGATTACTATGGAAAAATGCGAATCGGAAACGATATCTTCCCCTTCAAGCAGTATTTTTATTAAAACTCCGACCTTCGATGGCAAATCTTCATGGTCCATTCGTCGCAGATAATTTGAGACTGCTGCGGAAAATAACGGGTGTAAAAATGAGGAGAAAGCAACAGTTCTCATACTGGCACTACGAGGAAAGGCCTCCGAAATTCTGCATAATATTCCAGTAAAGAGGCAGAAGGATTATGAAGCAATCGTATCAGCGTTGGAGGTCAGGTATGGTATCAGCACCTTCAACGAGTCTTTTAAGCCCAAATGAAAGTGAGAAATCAAGGTCCATCCGAGAGTCTGCAGCAGTTTAGGGCTGAAGTCGAAAGGTTGGTAAGACTCGCTTACCCAGAATCACATGATAACTTCACCCACTGGATTAGTGTCCATAGTTTAATAAAGGGGGTTCGTGACACGGAGCTGCAGTAGTCATTGAGGATGGCACGTCATAAAAAACTGAATGAAGCCATCATTTTTGCCCTAGAATTTGAAGCTGCCAAAAGAGCTTTGCGACAACAACGAAAAGTTCTAGTGAGGGCTATTAATGAAAAGGGAGGCGAAGGATTAGATCGACTCATGTTAGGTCTTGAAGAACTCTTCAAAAAATATTTGATGAATAGACTTGCGCCCAAGGCAACAGGACGGCCTGAATGTTATAACTGCGGCAGAGGCGGGAGTGTCGATCTCGTTCAACATCCAACGAAGGAAAGAACTGACGTTCGAGATCACCTGAACTGGAGCATCGGGGTTTGGAAAAACCAAATTCAGACTGCTTTAAGAGAAGTACGTTGACTGTTGCATCCCAAGTCCCTAGGCATTCGATTTCCACGATAGGACACCACAGTAACAGCTTAGTTGTCGATGAATTTCTGAATAATCACCAGTTCCTTTTTACCATCGATACTGTAGCAAAGAGGTCAATAATGAGAGTCGACATTTCCAACAGAAGCAGTTTGAAGAAATTATCAGTAGTACCTGTTCTGGTAATAGCCACTGGAGACAGATTGACAGTATATAGAGAAGCTGAAGTGAGACTTAGGCTTAGTAGTTGCGAAATAGAAACTAAGATATTAGTGGCCCACATCGTCGACGAATTCATTTTGGGACTAAACATCATGCCCCCTATGGATTCGTGGTGGACATGAAGAAAAAATTGTTAAAAGTTGGAAATGAGAAAATTTGGCTCGACGTACTCCCTCAGCCTCATGACAGCGCCAAAGTGGTTATACTGGAGATTCCGGAATCTCCCCCAACACCGAAAAAATTATTCAAACGAAAATTGCTGAACCTGGCGGTTTGGGTACAGCATTGATAGAGACATCCAACGGTACTGAAGCAGGAATTATCGTGGCCAGATCCCTCGTGAATGGTAACAATTAGGCCATTCCAGTAAGAATAATCAACCCTGATAATAACAGGGTGACTTTCAAATTAGGGCAAGTAATAGGCACCTGCGAACTGATCGTGAAAATCACCAACATCGAAGAAGTCCCTCTACAGCGTGCTCAACAACCCGCAAATGAACTCATCGAGAGTTTCAAGAAGACGTAGAACCATCTGTCTGAAAAAAAACTACGCAAGGCCACAAGATTCGTAGAGAAAGAAAATGATATGTTTGTGAAGGGCAAAATCATTGGTCAAACGGATTTAGTTCAACATCGGATTGATACTGGTGATACCAAGCCCATATATCAACTACTGAGAAAACTTTCCTTCGCAAGGCAAGACGAAGCTTCATCCATTATTAAGGACATGTTGGAGAAAGGTCACCTGTTGTGTTAGTGACTGAGAAAGAAGTATCGATGAGATTTTGCATAAACTACAGAAGGATTAATGCTGTCACCAGAAAGGAGTTACCCTCTTCCTAGAATAGATGACACCCTGAACATCTTGGCCGAATGCAGATGGCTCTCAACATTTGATCTGAAAAGCGGTTATTGACAGGAGGCCGTTCGCGCCGAGGATAAAGAGGAGACTGCCTTTTCCACTGGTAATGGATTATACCAGTTTATGCCGTTCGGATCATGCAATGCACCCGCAACATTTGAACGCTTGATGGAGTTGGTGTTTAGCGGACTTACCTGTTAAACATGCTTGGTCTATCTTGTTGACATTATAGCAAGCAGGAACTTGGACTCTGTAGGCTACAACCGGCGTTTCGTGAAATACTTTGGGAAAATGACCAGACCGCTGCAGAGCTCAACTTGAAACACCCTTCGTTTGGTCCCCAGATTCCCAGCAAGCATTTGCTATTGTGAAGAGACATTTGACCAACGCACCGATCCTGGCGTACTCAAGGAAAAGGGCTTGTTTATACTGGACACGTATGCATCCCGATATAGAATAGAAGCAGTATTTTCCCAGGTACAAGAAGAAAAAGAAGTCGTCATCGACTATTTCAGTAAGTCCCTGGGAACGCCCGAAAGAAATTACTGGGTTACCAGAAAATAACTCTTCGTATTGGTGAAAGCGGTGGATCACTACCACTCCGTCAATTTTTGATCAGGTCGGACCACTCAGCACTTCAGTGGCTCTTCAATTCGAAAACGCTAGAAGGACAAACAGTCAGGTGGATCGAAGAGTTACAAACTTACGATTTTGAAATTTAACGTCGGAAAGGAAAGAGTCACGGAAACGAAGATAGCCTCTCAAGGAAACCATGCCTGACATCCGAATGCAAATTTGGCCATCGCTAGGAGGAGAAGATTTCCAGCTACCAGAAGAAAAACTTTCCACCAGACGTGATAGGGTAGTAGGCAGAGACTCCTCTATGGACAGCTCTAATAGGGAGATAGGGTATCCCTCTGACCCGGATGGTAGCAACCTGTAAGGGTCCCTTGTCCAGGGATACGGACAGATAATTTGAGGAATCACCTGATCATGCTGTGGTACGGTCGTAAACAACCTCTGAGAGTGACACTACCTTCATGACGAGGCGGGAAATCATCGTAGCATAGAAGGAGGATCCAGTCTTGAGCATTCGAGATGACCTACTCACTCGGAAATGGGAAAACCCGGAGGGAAGAATCCACAAATTCCAGATGATCCTTCTAAAGAGTGTTTCCCGAGTATCCTTGAACAGCTCCACGATGGTCGTACTGGAGGGCATTTCGGAGTAAATG